ATTGGTGAAACCTGCAGGTCTCTGCAAGGTGCTGCCCGATCAGCTTGTCAATGATGGTGCTGTCTGTAAAACAGTGAAACGAGTCTGAATCAAAGCCTGCAGTGAACGTGTCTGGTAAAATACACGTTAGGCCTCTGTTTTCTGTTTTTAAATAATTGGTATAGGCCTGGTCAGGAATCGTTGTATCTGATATGCTGAAAAACTAGGTGGCAGTACCAGAAACATGAAGCAGCTTCTGTTCTTGATGTGAGATTATCTCCTGGCTGAAGCCAACCTTGTGCATGTTTTCCTTGTTCTTGAGTTGAGTAACTTGTACTTCGATTCTCTCATAGGAACTGGCCCATGGTGAATACTGTAACAGCAAACTGCAAAGCTGTAGGCAAGCTCAGGACTCCGCAATACAGTAACTGTACAACCTGCCGGTGTATGTAAATCAACATGCTAATAAATGTCACTCAACGAACAAATCCATGTGTGGCAAGTGATGTTCTTCTTTAAGTGGATGAAGTATTCCATTTTGCAGAGATGTTTCTAATGTATTAAAATAAAAAAAACCTGATGTTCACATTGCTATTTCAGGTTTATCACAGAGGGAGAGATTTAACCATGGTTTAAAATTTAGCCTGCTTTAGTTCACTGACCAGTGCATGCTTTGGGCAAAATTTTCTTCATTAAGGTCTATGATTGAAGTATTCCATTTTGCAGAGATGTTTATATAGTATTAAAACAAAAACTTGATGTTCACATTGCTATTTCAGGTTTATCACAGAGAGAGAGATTTAACTATGGTTTAAAATTTAGCCTGCTTTAATTCATTGACCAGTGCATGCTTTGGGCAAATTTTTCTTCATTAAGATCTATGATAAACAGAGAGTATAGGCCCATAATTTCAAATACATAATAAAAAATTCTTCTATCAGCTCTGTCCTATTACTGGAAGGGGTACACTGATGTTTTTAAGTTTCCCTGTGGTTTTAGAGCTTATCTCATGTGTTTAGGGCTCCATAGCTGTCCGCAGCTGCCCAAATGGAGAAATTCATTAATAATTGGGGATATTTCAGCTCTAGCTTTTAACATTGCAATAATTGCATGTCTTCTTATGTACTTTCGGTGTACTTTGTCACAGCTGCACATACACAGTAAAAGGATGATGTATTTTTTTGCAGCTACTTTTAAATTGTATACAGCTGAAAAGATATCATTGCTGTCAGTCAGATTACTCCTATTCAGTCAAAATGGAATGCTAGGAGGGTGAAAGAAAAGAGGAATCAAAAATCACAAGTGACCCTTTTGTTGACTTTAATAAATGTAAATATTTTGCATCTTAATTCAGGTAATATATTCAAAACAAGCACTCAAACACATTGATATTTTTAAAATAACTCAGCATAAAATAATGTATAAGAATAAGTGGCAACTTCATGGAATATTTTTATATATGAAATATTTTTAAAATGATACAGAATGTTTTAAATAATGCTAAGTATATGGCTGTGAACTTTTCTGTAGCTGATCAAAAAAACTCTTTCCTGACATCAAGATATATTTCTGAGTCAGTAGTTGTCATTGAATTTGCATCTCTAAGAAGATGCAACTCATCCATTTTGCTGTACTGCAAGAAAGGTGAAGGGGTTACAATAGTTAATGTATGGAAGAAAAAAAACCCACACGAATCTTCTATACTGTGTGCATGATTTTGAATGTTAGTGTAACTCAAGCTATAGTTTGAAACAAAAACAAACCACAACATGCAATGAATAGAAGCTCTGCAATTATAAAACAGCAGTGTAATAGTACTATTGAAGTACTGTCTTAAAAAGGAAAAATTAAGGTGCCTAATCAATTGCTACTGAAAAAAAGCCCTACTAAAGAAACTGAGCTTATCTGCAGATGTACATAGGTCTATGGAATTCACAATAAAACAGATTGCACCTTTTTATGCAGGATATATGGATAAGAAAGGTTAAAAAGGAAAAATTAAGGTGCCTAATTGATCGCTACTGAAAAAGCCCTACTTAAGAAACTGAGCTTATCTGCAGATGTATATAGGTCTATGAAATTCAGAATAAAACAGATACCACCTTTTTATGCAGGATATATAGATAAGAAAGATGTACCTAAAGCACTAACAGGTTCACAAGCAAAAATATAAACTTTGTTTACTTGAGAATAAATAAATGTGACAGAGTCTATAGCCTATTTTACTGCTGCTTATGATCCTGCTATGCACACATAGGCTGTATATTACATGTGTCTGGCTATATGTTCCGAAAGTGAGTACATGAATAAGAGAGCTTGTTATGAAACAAATTTTCACAAAATTTCTTTCTTTTCGGGTGGAAGGGGAGAAAGATTTAGTTATCTAGGAAAGCTAAGCATAGCTGCTGTTGATTTTAAAAGCATTATATTGTAATACTGTAATAGTTGTGCCTGAAACGGATAAAAAACACTTAAGAAAGATGTTCCTTTGGGTGTGCAAAGGAAGGCTATTGCTCTTGAAGTGTCCATTTTAGATTACTATTGTTTCTAGAGCGTTTCCTGTTCTTGGCTAACTTCCACTTCTACCTCTTCATATTCCTCGACGTCTGCTGTGGCATCCTGGTACTGCTGGTACTCGGACACAAGGTCGTTGGTGTTACCTTCTGCTTCAGAAAACTCCATTTCATCCATGCCTTCGCCAGTATACCAGTGAAGAAATGCTTTCCTTCTAAACATAGCTGAGAATTGTTCAGAAACCCTGATGAAGAGCTCTTGAATGGCTGTGTTATTGCCAATGAAGGTGGCTGCCATCTTCAGTCCTCGTGGTGGTATGTCACACACTGCCACTTTGACATTATTGGGGATCCATTCCACAAAGTAAGAACTATTCTTGGTCTGAATAGCCAGTAGCTGCTCATCCACTTCTCTGGTAGACATTCGGCCTCTGAAGATGCATGCCACGGTCAAGTAACGTCCACGACGAGGGTCACAGGCTGCCATCATGTTACGTGCATCAAACATCTGTTGAGTGAGCTCTGGTACTGACAGGGCTCTGTACTGCTGACTACCTCGAGCTGTCAGTGGAGCAAAGCCAGGCATAAAAAAATGCAGGCGTGGAAAAGGCACCATGTTAACAGCCAGCTTCCGCAGATCCGCGTTCAGCTGACCGGGAAAACGGAGTGAGGTTGTGACCCCACTCATTGTTAGGGACACTAAGTGGTTGAGGTCACCATAGGTGGGATTGGTGAGCTTTAAAGTTCTGAAGCATATGTCGTATAGAGCTTCGTTATCAATGCAAAAGGTTTCATCTGTGGTCTCTATTAGCTGATGGATGGAGAGGATGGCGTTATATGGCTCTACGACTGTGTCAGATACTTTGGGTGAAGGCACAACACTGAAGGTGTTCATAATCCTGTCAGGATATTCTTCTCTGATTTTATTGATGAGGAGTGTGCCCATACCCGAGCCCGTACCACCACCAAGTGAGTGGATAAGCTGAAACCCCTGCAGGCAATCACAGCTCTCACACTCATTTCTCACCACGTCCATGACGTTTTCAATCAGTTCAGCTCCCTCTGTGTAATGCCCCTTAGCCCAGTTGTTGCCAGCACCAGAGTTACCTAAACAGAAAATCAGCTATAATGGTACCAAGACTAATTTGTAAAGGCCATAAAGATGTCGTTAAAAGGCCACTTTAAGCCTGCTGGCCCTAGATAGTTTACTAACAGCATACATACCATGAATAAAATTGTCAGGTCGAAATAATGGGCCTATTTTGCTAGATCGTACACTGTCCATAGTTCCAGGTTCTAGGTCCACCAAGATGGAACGGGGCACGTATTTATGAGCTAGAACAGAATAAAAATGTGTACAAGTTACCAGGTCTATTGGCAAAAATATATCTCCATTGCCTCACCTCAGTCTAGGTATTTCAAGGTATTTCTTCTTATTTCATATGGTGGTATACAGAATGACTAACAAAACCTAGGTTGGAGCTAAATCAAATGGTCTTCAGTGATCTTATAAAACAGGCAGGAGTTCAGCTTGTGCCACAAGTAAACTTCAAAGCAAAACAAACAAAACCATTGGGTAACTCAGGTCAAGGACAACTGGCTCTTGCAGAATTACTGAAGGAAAACAGGCACAGATCTCAGAGGGTTTGCTGTGTTTAACAACAGGGTTGGGCTATACAAGTGTTTTACTGAAGCCTGAAAATCAGTGTGAAAAAAATACTGCTGGAAGTCAGAGAGACCTGCTGTAACCTACTCCGAAATCCCCTATCTACCTACAGTGGTTTGGGAGCTATTTATTTATTCATTTAAGCTTTTGTTCCTAATTTAACCTTCATGATTGTGTTGTAAATTGCTCTAACAACACCCTAGCAGTGCTGAGCACTTACAGTAAGCCTCGTTGAAATACACGTTAATTCGCTCAAGCTGCAGTGGTGCAGCCCCACGGTAGTTTCCTTCGATGTCAATTCCATGTTCATCACTTATCACCTCCCAGAACTGCAACAGGAAAGAGATTTAAGACACTCAAAAATAAATATATATATTTTTTCCAGCACAATGTGATCGGCATGATTTCTGCTGCTCTCATGGCTGTGAATTACACCATGAGGGTCCTGTACTCGAAGCTGGGGGCAGAGAGGTGCCTTGCTACTTACACATTAGACTATAGAGGACAGAAGAACAATCTGAGTAAAAAAAATAGCTGAATAAAATGCAATCATGCTAGTCAAGTGGTCTTTCTGGTGCTTTGGTGGGAGGATATTTGTTCTGAGGACTATCATGCACAAATGGGAGGGTGCTATGGCAAATTTATGTGAACAATGTTTTCCACAAACATATTGATCATTTTAATTGCATTTGTGTTTATATTTGGATTTTAGATCCATTCCTCACCATCAACCTCCCCAGAAACCCATCTAATTTTGAGCAACTGAGAGTCAATTGTGTAATTCTGAACAGCTGTGAGACTCTAAACCTGATAATTTGCTTTTGACCTCATATATATATATATATATATATATATATGTGTAAAATATGGTATAATACCTAATAGATATAGATATTACAACAAAATAATAAAATAAGGAGATTTCATACATACACACAGGGCTTTCTTAGCAGAGGGGACACTCGGAGGCAACACACTCAACTTGCTTTCTGCTTGAGTACTTTGCTGGGGGAAGGGAAGAGGCAAATGCCCTATCTTGACATTCATATGGTTGTCTTGTACTGGGAGTCTTATCTAGGCAGCTACCACAGCAGGGTTAAAGTGGGCACACCCACTCCCCCCTATAATGATGTCCAGGCTATTTTAATTCTAAAGAGCTTCTGGTTTAGCATCCAGGCTCGTTTTAGAAACACAAATACAACATCATCAGCAGTGTCCTCCACCTTTAGCTATCAGGTCTACAAAGAGCTCTTACCCCCAGCTCCCCATCTGCACACACACACACACACACCCACACACACTCCCTCGAATTAACCCAATGCTCTCATTTTTTTGGGACAATGTCCCACTAATGAACAGCAAAAACAAATCCTATAGCAGATGTAATATTCTTTTCTCCCTAGCAAATGCACGCTGCCAGCAAGGACCGACTTCTCTCTAAGCAACAGCACACAGTTTTTGGAACTGAACAAACACACTCTGACTTGGCTATCACAGGAGGCCAGTTAGGCAGGACAGCTGCCCTTTGTGCTGGCCTTAAAAAGCATTAATTGTTTGGTGTTAGTGGTTGTCCTGTTGGCTAATAAACCATGTAGATGGTTACAATGGAGGAGGGGGAGTTAGTGATGTGTATCTGAACTAATCCACTGAACTAATCCACTGCTGTCTGCAGCTCTGGACTTGTTCACTTCATTTGTACCAGTATGGTATAGCCCAGA